AGGGAGGGGGAGAAAGAAGTCATAGAATTCTGTCTATAACATGCCCTGGAGGCTCAGACCCCCAGGGGAGAGGATCATGGTGTTCCCCCTTCCTGAAGTCTACTTGGGGCAGAGATCAAAGTAGAGGGAAAAGGCTAATTACCTCCAAACAATCCAGATTGCTGGGTGGCAGTGGCTAGAAGCTAATGAACCACGCCATACTCCTCTTTACAGGCCTGTGCCCTTCCCAGGCCCAGTCCCCTCAGGCAGGCCTGAAGAGCTCTTGTGCCTCCAGAAGCAAGCACGACTAGATGGATCATCTAAAGCCAACTCTGGCCCACTCCCTGGGGCACCAGTCCCCTCTCCCCAGGCTGGAGCAGCCTGTAACCAGCCTGCACTCCCTGGGGCAATGGTCTCCTCTCCCCTAGGCTGGAGCAGCCTGCATCCAGCCTATAAGGAAAGCTCCCTTTTCCTTTGGGGGCAATTTCAGCAGGAAGAGACTGCCATGGCATGGTCTTCCAAGGCCCCAAGGGATCACAAGGATGTTATTATGCAGGAGTCAATGTGCTTTTATCTTTTCTGACCCTCAACCTCCTTGGCAGCCCTGTGATAAGGCAGGCAGGGCTGACTGCTTTATGCCCATTATACCCATGGAAGGACGGAAGTTTGGAGTGACTTGCAGAGGTCACACAATCAGTGAGAGACCTGGGACAAGGAATTCCAACTCCCAGGCTCAATACTCCTTCCCAGGAGAAATGTCTACCCATATTCCATTTCCAAGTTAGATTCTCCAGGAGCCCTTTCAGCAGTGCCAAGTGTGGACCTTTACTATCCCCCCAGCCCCAGCTTGTGGGGAAGAACCCAGGGAAGAACCCCACTCACCTTGTTAAACTGGAATAGGTCCCGCTTTAGCCTCTCCCGGGCAGGGTCGTGCCCAGTTCTCAGGAACCGCCTCATCTGGCTTAGTCTGCAGTCCCTACTTGAGACCTAGGAAAACCAAAGGAGCCGTGAGCCCAGGGCAAGAATCACCCAGGCCACAGCTGTCCAGGCCAAGAGCTGTCCCAGCTGAACAGCCTCTCTTCCCAAGCCAAGCTTCACCAGCAGTTTCCTGTGCTCCATCCACAGTATGGTCCCTGAGAGGAAGTCAGAGAGAGCTTGGTTCCTGGAGGCCAGGGCCTGTCCCTGCCTGGTTAATACTCTAATGCCAGCTGTTGCCTTATAATGGGAGCAGAAGAGAAGCTGGAGGAGGAAGCCATTTAGTCAGGCTTTACAGAACAAGGAGGACCAGCAGGCCCTGAGGTTAATGAGCTTAATTGTTAACCTGTTTTCAGAAAAACCATAAAACTCCCGAAAGGGAAACTGCACAAGCTTCCCTCAAAGCCACTGGGAAGGGGGAGATGCAAAGGCTGTCTAGGGAACTCCTAGGTCAGAGCTCCAAGGGGGCTAACTGGGGAGAGGCTGCAGCTTCCAGGTCAGAGCCCAGCAGGAATACCCATTTGGGGTCTGGGGTCAACACAATTGGGAAAATACTTCATTCTGACTTCAGGGAGACGATCAAGGGACTCACTTGACCCAGCCCTTGGTGCTGAGGACCCAAGTTTGGTTCTGAGACTGCTGGAGTCTCTGAGTTAGGCTTAGCTTCAGCCTCCCTGCTGATCCCCACTCTGTCGTTGTCTTTCCCAAGTCTAGCTCCCTGGGCTCAGATGGGGTATACCTAGAAAGGATTCCCCTTTTCAGATGTACATGATGGCACATACCCGTAACTCAAGCACTCAGAAGACAGAAGGATCAAAAGTTCAAGGCCAGCCTGGAGTACATGGTGAGACCCTGTCTCAGTTCCCCCTACCTTACCCCCAAAACTTCATTTCCCAGGGACCCCAGTGGAGCATAATCAAGAGAAGACATCTACACCCAATATAGAAACCAGCTCAAGGTCCCCAAACCACCCACCCATCACAGAATGCATTCCCAGTCCAAGGGGAAACTATTTCTGGACTATCCTTGGGGGAGGGGAAAAGATCATCTGCACTCTGACTTCCCGCTTCCAGTAGTACAGACTCCCACCGACCACAGGAAACCAAGGCCTGTCCTTGGGAACACAGGGGCTCAGGTCCACTCCAGAAATGGTTCCCATCATTCCACTCTAGATTAAAAAGGAAGATAAGCCCAGCCAGCCATTAGTGAGTGGGGAGCTTACTCAGGGTAGGGACAGATAAAGGTCAACAGAGTGTGCTATTCCTAGTAAGTGCTTTGATTACAGGGAGGGGGGTTCCTACCTAAGCTAAGGCCTGAAAGATACCCTGAAGGTTCCAGCTTCTCGGGAAGTAGCAAAAACTAATTACAGGGCATTGGGGGTGGGTGAGAGTGTGTTCATGGTTCAGTGGTTGAGCATTAGTCCAGCATGTACCAGGCCCTAGGTTTGATCCCTAGCACAGCAACCAATCAAAGGCCATAACTTTGCATATGAAAGGATCCTGTGGATTTAGGGCTCCCTGGTAGCTGGAGGCAACTCCCCACTACCTGTAGGGCATATGACAGAGGTGAGGGTTTCTGACACAGCATCTAGGGCTTGCCATACTGGGAGTGGTCATCCTATATTCAAGTTGTGAAACAGGCACTGGCCCAGATCCACTGCAAACCAAAGGGTCAACAGGGCAGGTCACTTCTAAACCAAACATCAGGGATCAGTTCTTGGAGAACTGTCACCCTCTAGGGACAATCAAAAGGCCATTATTTGCAGTGGGGGTGGGGGTTTGGGAATTCACATTCTAGGGGAGCCAGATGACCATAGGGCCTCCTCCTCTGTGGGAATGGCAGGTAGCTGGGAAAGTCCAGGTACCCACTTGATCAGAGGCCACACAGCACATCAGAGAATAAGCACCAAGTGTGAAAGCCCTGGGGGCTCCCGGGATTGGAAGTGAAAATAGACTCCAGGCACAGTGATCTCCAGCCATCTCTGCCTCTGGACAAACAGTTGAGACGGCTGGCTGAACATTCCAGCTGTGGGGGAGGGCGATGCAAGCCCATAAATCAGCAGTTAGGGCTCCTGGGGTGCTGGCTGTCCCCTCCCCAACTGAGGTCACTGGGTCAGAAGCCACAGGAAGCTTGGAGTAACTCCCTGGAGAGGAAAGGGGCCAGTAAGACTCCAGGGAAGGAACAAGAGGACCAGGGCCATCTATGCTAAGGACCCCATACAGGCTAGAAGGTAGAAGTTGGCTGGAGAGAGAGGAACAGGTCAGAATACTCAGCGCCAGCCACCTACCCAAATGCCCCCCTAAGCACTCACTGCTTACTAGGCACTGTTCCAGACTGCCTACATGTGCTGTTGATACGTTGTAAAATTCTTGCTCAAGTAATCTGCTCACTGTAGAAACTTCAAATTACAAAGGGAAAACCCTCCTTGAGATAGCCATGGTAATGTGTGGGTACAGTCCTGACCACCTCTGCCCTCTTTGGTTGTGAATGCAGCGTGGACACTCCACTACGTATTAACTTGGATGGAAACCACCTGAGAGGAAAGCAGACCCTCCCCACCTGGCAGACGACGAAAGCAAAGCTATAGACTAAGCAACCTGCCCAAGGCCACCAGGACACAGGGCAGGACTCAGCTCTGACCCCTGGTGTGACTAACTCCCAAATCGAAGGGCTTCATAGAGGAGTCAGTGACGGATGGCTATTACAGGAGAGTACATGCCTAATTACATGGCTGCAGTTAAATGGCAGGGGCACGCGCACATACTCCCACAGGCCGTGAGCTTAAAACCAAACAAGCAGTTTGAGGCCAGATTCTGACCACTGCTTTCAAGTGCTGGTAAGATCTAGCCGGGCAGGACAGTGGCCTTGTAGGAACCTGCTGTTCAGTCCACAAGGACCTGGACCTATCCCTACTGGGCTGGAGAGACAGAGGAGGGACCTAGGACCTAGAACCAAGGCAAAAGCAGACTGGGCATGGGCCCCTCGTTGTAACTGCCCCAGAGCAAGGCCTGAAAACTCACCACTCCTCGTGGGGAAAGACAGGTTTAGGCCTGGCTGAACTCATTTCAGGAAGCCCTCCACCCCTACTCCCAGGCCACCTACTCAAGACATTCAAGTTCTCTAGAGAAGCCCAGGAAGTCAGGCAGAGCCTGCCTGCCTAGCCCATTCCTGGGAGATGAGGCGGTAAAGGGAAAGAATATAGGTGCATGCACATCCCCCCACGTCTGGTGACCCCTGAGGTAGACCAGCTGTGAGGGGTTGGCACTTGCTCCCAGAGGCCCTCTGGAAGGAGAGGGAGTGGAGCCAAATGCTGAGTACTTGGCACATTGCTTGGCACATACTAAGCCCTGTCCTGGGACCATGGACACTACTGTGACAGGGGAGAGGCAGGCAGTTCCCAAGAACATAAAAACAGTTCAGTGGAATGATTTCTGACAGTCCAGAACTATGGAGAAAACAAAGGAAGATGCTGAGGTCAAGGGGCAGGTTTGGGGGTGGAAAAGCCTGAGTCTTGGGTCTATGCCTATGCATTCACCGTTCTACAGGACATTCTTCTTGGATGCCCTTACCAATCACTCAGTACTCAATGTCCTCTTACCACACTGTCCAAAGCTACACCCTCCCCGCCATTATCTCCTTCCCCCTCCTCGCTTTTCTCCTTAGGCCTCATCCTGCTGAGCATCCCAAGAGTTTACTGATTAATCGTGCGGACAACCTGGGGACTCCTCCACAGAAAGCCGCTTTCTAACTGATTCAGCAACTTTTGTCTTTTTTTCACAGTTGCATCCTGCATGTATGTGGTGAGCACTTTTACTTGTTTACTGCTGGCTGGCAGGCTGGCTGGCTGGCTGACTGAATCAATCAATCAATCAACCAATCAACCAATCAACCAATCAACCAATCAACCAATCAACCAATCAACCAATCAAAGGAGGAGGCAATGTCTCTACTGAGGCCCTCAACAACAGGAAGCACTGGCCGCATATTTGGGGCAGGTCTAAAGGTGGAGTTCAGAGGTAGAATACTTGTCTAGCATGTGTGAGGCCTTGATTTTGATCCCCAGTCTCTGAAAAAAAAATCTGGGGCAGGGTGGGTCAGGCAGGTAGAACAGATGTGCAGCCTAAGGTCAGGGCAAGCTTGCATGTTCCAGGAGCACCAAGACAAGTCCAGGCTGAGTTCATGGAGAGACCCACACAGTCCACACAGAGAGATGAAAATGAGGGCCATAGGGAAGACTAAGTCAGACCCTATTGGGACTGCAGGTCAGTCCTGAGCAGGGGCTGATGGCCTGTCCCCCCATCACACCACATCTGCTCTTCTGTTTGGCCCTGTACTGGCTGCTCCAGCTACTTGGTCTCCTACCCACCGCTTTACTATGGGCTCTGAAGCTGCTCTGCCCCTCTAGCAGTATCATTCAAAGAAGCCTGCCCACAGAGACCATCTTGACCATTCTTACTACACTCCTACAGCATTTGGCTGTGCTTAAAATGATCACTTTGGAGCTAGGGAGATAGCTCAGGCGTAAAGCACTTGCCCTGCAAGCATGAGGATCTGAGTTCGACCCCAGAACCCAGGTAAAAGCTGGGTGTGGTGGTAAACGCTTGTAATCTCAGCACTAGGGAGGAAGAGGAGGGAGGATTCCTGGGGCTTGCTGGCCAACCAGCCTAGTCTACCTGGCAAGTTCCAGGTCATGAGAGAGCCTGTCTCAGAAAACAAGATGGGTAGTACCTAAGGACTGCAGGTTGTCTTCTGGCATGTACACACATTTACACATATGTGCACCCTCACATGAACACGCCCACACACTCACAAAAAAAGTAACAAAACAAAGTGATTACTTAGAAACACATGGATGGGGCTGGTCATTCCCAGCCTTGGTAAGCTATTAGGAGAGTAAGAAACAACCTTAAATGACCTTTTGAGGGGACTGAAGGGTGCTCAGCCCGATCACAGAAGGCTTGCTGTCATGGGAAGAAAGGAGTACACCCAATAGTCAGGTAAGAATACTGGAA